ATATATATATATATATATATAAGTGGGCAGCCAAAAGACAACAACTAAAACCGGCGCACGAAAGTGCATGGTTATTGGTTGTACAAACTGAAAACTGAACAGAAGACATACTCTGCCTGTTACTAGTAGCATTTCTGAGCTGACAGGCTATCATCTTTCCAGAGTATCCTAAACCTCTTTGGTCACTATCGCCTGCCCAACTCTCATTGGTAGCTCCAATGAAATGAGGCATGCATCAGCGGTCACATACCGGTGGAGCGCTAGATAAACGGGCCAAATCAGGTTTAGGGTAACCGAGGTTTAAAGCCTCAGTGAAACGGCGCAAGCCATGCGAAGACAACCACCCCTGATTGTTTGGATGAGTCTTCCTGCTTGATAGAACGGCCTTAAAGAAACCCAATCAATCCACCACGGATACACGGACCCCGGGACTGAACCCACACCGGTCGAACGGCGAATGGGCTCCCAGTGAGTCACTGTCCACCATCTACTAACGTACTGCAGCCTTGCACTTCACACTTGGCTCCGCAAAAGCAGAAGGGGCGCCTACAAAAAACCTGAGTGATGTCGGGGAGGTCTGTTGTAACAAAATCACGAAGCCGATTGATACTTCCGAATGAAGAAACCATACGTAAGAAACAACGACTCATGTTGCTTTCGTAAGAAGCTTCATGTATGCCACAGAATTTCGGTTGGTCATGTATCCAGGTTAACTACTAGAGTTGCTGCAGGGAGAACTTCCATAGACTGTCTGTTAACTGGCATGAAAAAATAGGCGGGTGTGTATTTAGACTATACTATAGGATATTGAGTAAACAGGTGGCTACATGAATTTGACCTTCATAAATTACGATGTTATGAACATGTTGTACGGTCTTCCTGATTGGATGAAGTAAATTCTTGTCAACTGCAGATGTATAATTAATCAGTTGGTGATTCGGTTTCAAGGTATAAGACGTTGAACGGTAACCCATGGGAAACTACTTACCATCATACTTCATCCAGACCTTCTGTTGACCTCCTATTCTATGCCCCAATGACCGGAACATAAAGGTCGGAGGTTAACACTGCTGAATACTGAATCTAAAATGAGTCAAGATTAATGATTTTGGAATCTCCGAATAGAAACCAAGTGAAATCAGTTGGTTGTATATGTAGACCGTCTGTCTGTATGTACGTGGGTTGTAGGACTGTTGAACGAATACGCGGTA